CAGATGGGAAGACTTAGGCCTAGAGAGGCCAGGGATCCACTCCTGCCACACTGAGGGGTAGTAGCGGAAGTAGGACTAGAAGCTGGGGCTCCTGAGCCCCAGGCTGGGAAGGAATCCTTTTTAGTGGCTCAGCATTTTGAAAATTTCAGCCCTTCACATCCTGGCCCTGTGATTTTTTTTCCTTATCCTCATACCATCTGTAGCATTATTTACTTAATATTTTTCCTTAATTTTTCTGTTTAGTTTAAATGTATTTTTAAAAAACTATCAACACTATAAATAGAAAACAAGCATCACTTGTCATAAACAGCAAGAAGGCATGAAAACAGACACAGTGACAACAAAACCTAGTTATTAAATTACAGCTTGATCATATTGCAGGCTGAAGGCTGGGCGTGAGGCCTTCTGTTTGTTGAAAAGGGAGACTAGCAAGTGTTAAAGACGTTAAAGACACATTAGTACCAAACTGAACTTTTCCCTTGACTAAAGGGAAGGAATACAAGAGAACTGAAAAGGCAGTGACTCTCTCATTTGTAGCTCAGGTTCACTATGGGGCACAGCCCTGGTCCAGGAAGCTGCGCCGGTCAGGCCATGAGCTGAACCCTCACACCTTGCCCATAGGTGCTGGATCCGGGACTCCCTGGTCAGCCACATCACCAATCTGGGCCTCTTCTGCCTGGTGTTTCTGTTCAACATGACCATGCTGGGCACCATGGTGGTGCAGATTCTGCGGCTGCGCCCACACGCCCAGAAGTGGCCCCATGTGCTGACGCTGCTGGGCCTCAGCCTGGTCCTTGGCCTGCCTTGGGCCCTGGTCTTTTTCTCTTTTGCCTCTGGTACCTTTCAGCTTGTTGTCCTCTACCTCTTCAGCATCATCACCTCCTTCCAAGGTAGGTATGGAAAAGACCCTTCCCCTCGGCCCAGGCAGGGTGCCCATGAGTGGAGCACAGGGCAGGGAAGAGAGGACTGAGGGGACCTGAAGGCTTCCCTTCTCAGTCTTCCCATCCATAAAATGGGGGTATACAGGCCACAGTCAACAAGTGTTTATTGAGTACTTACTATGTATAAGCACTATGCTAAGCCCTGGGGCTACATTCATGAGGTGGCCAAGTGAGGATCCTGTTCCCATGGAGCTCACGTTTTAGTGGGAAGGACAGTGGACCAGCAAGCCAGCCACCACCAGAGATGATATCAGAGACTAGGAGAATAGCAGATAACATGATGGACAATGCCCGTGCTGGAGGCCAGAGAGGGTGGTTAGGGAGGCCTCTCTGTACAGGAGCCATTTGAAGGCCCCTCCCAGGTTCTCATGTGTGCCATGAGGCAGCTGACATTACTTTTGAGTCTTCGTTTTCTCATCCATGATATGAAATGGACTTTGAAGATTGTAATTCACCCAGCCAACATTTATTGAGCCACGAATAAATCACAGTATTTTTATTTGGGGGAGAAGCAATATGAGGTGGTGTTTAAACTGGTGGCCTCTGAAACATGGCCACCACTGTTTGACTCCTGGCTCTGCTACTTTCTGCTCAGCCAAGCCCCCTGACCTCTTTGGGTCTCAGTCTCTTTGTTTTTAAAATGGAAATAATCATGAACAGGACCTCATAAGACCCCTAAGAGAATAAAGTGAAAAGATGTGTGCCAAGGACTTAGTATAGTGCCCGATGCATAGTGGGTGCTCCTGGGTGGCATTTATTACATGTCACATGGGTGCCTGACAGCATGTGTGGGGAGAAGGATGGAGGAAGAGAGAGGGAGCAGAGCTGAGTCAAGGTGGCTCTGGGGGGAAGGAGGCAGGGTGGTGTAGTCTGCCTCAACTCTGAGCCTGCGTCCCCTTCACTGTCCCCAGGCCTCCTCATCTTCCTCTGGTACTGGTCCATGCGGCTGCAGGCCCGGGGCGGCGTCTCCTCCTCCCTCAAGAGCAGCTCGGACAGCGCCAGGCTCCCCATCAGCTCGGGCAGCACCTCGTCTGGCCGCATCTAAGCCGCCAACCCATCTGCCAGCGTGAAGAAGCAGAGACTCAGCCGCTCCTCACCACGGCCTTCGGCCTCTACAGCCAGACCCAGACCTTGGCCCGCCAGCCTTGGGAATTGAGAAGGCCTGAAGACCTCAGAGGGATGGGGCTGTTGCCATGGCGACCAGATTCCCAGGCTGGGCTTTCTGAATGGACCTTGGGGATGACTTGGCTCTCGGGTCCAGCTCCCAATGGGTTCAGGAATACGTGGCAACACTGGCTGTGGGACCACCTCCAGCTGTCCTAACTGGGGCTCAGGCCAAGCCTTTTGTCACCTCTCCCAAACCCGGCCTCGCTACTGGGGTTGGGACCTACGGGCCCCAGGATCAGGCTTCACTCCGTGGAAGCAGAGCATATTCTCAGCCCCGTGCCACTGCTCCAGGGCAGAATGTGGCCATGGCGGCTCAGTCTCTGGTGATAAATAACCACCTGGCACTCAGCCACAGCTCCTGCAGCCAGCCCCTATCATTTTAACCTGAGGCAAGGCAGAGCTTTGGAGCCAGACCCCTCTGTTGAGCACAGCGGCAGCTCCCCTCCCTCCAAGCCCAGGGCCCCCTCCCTCCCTCAGCATCCCAGCCTTCCCTCCTCCCTCCCAGAGGTTCCCCCAATCTTCCTCCTATCCTGAAGGCACAGGGCCTCCCCAGCCCTTATTCTCCCCACTTAGGTCTCCTCAGCCCTTACCTCCCCCGCCCCCACCAGGGTGTCCCCAGCCCTCGTCTCCCTCAGGGCCTCCCCAGGCCCTCCCAGTACAGCCTAGGGTCCCTAATTCCAATGCTGTATTTTGGGTAGTGGTTCCCAAGAGCCGCCTGGTGCCTGCTGTAAACCTTTATCTACTGCACAGGCCTCTGCCTATCCCTGACTCAGACTTAGTATAGATGTTCTAGGCTGGGCTGGTCCATCTGTCCTTCTGGGTCTCTCTATAAGCTGCATCATCCTTGCTCACACCTGCCAACCCCATACCTCAGGAGGGTCTTGGCAGCTCCTGAAGCCCTCTTGGGATAAGAACTGTGGAGGGTAACAGTCCAGACTTCTTCCACTCCAGTACACGGAGGACTGAGACATACCTCCCCTGGTGACACTGGCCCACAGCCCAGTAGTGCTTTCTTAAGGGGTCATCTCCAAATACCTGCAAACCACCTTGTGCACACTCAGCTGCCCATCACAGTTGATTCCATGCAACAAGCACACATTGATCAGTCACTGGCTGTGTGTCCAGCCCTGTGCTAGGTGGTGGGGATGCAGGACCAGCCTCTCCTCTCTGTGAGTTCTCAGTCAAGTGCATAAAACATGCACTAGACAAGAGCTTCTGGAGCTACAGGCACGGGGTCAGGGAGCCAACATCTTTGGCTGAGAATCCAGAAAGACTTCCTGTAGGAGGTCACATTTGATCTCAGTCTTTAAGGTGGGGAGTGTTTTCTTTTTAAGTACCAGTTCATTTGTCTTTTGATTATTTAAGAAAACAAAAAACAAACAAAAAAAACCGTGTTCATTGTAGAATATTTGGAAACTGTAGAAGAGTATAAAGAAGAAAATAAAAATCAGCTGTCATTGTCACCTAGCAAACCACCGTAAACATTTTGGAGCATTTCCTTCTGAACCTTTTTCTATGCTTCTGTTATAAGATTCACTGATTCAAGTGCCTCAAGACCAGACAGGTAACAAGAAGGAGAGAAGAGGGCCATGTGTGAAATAAAAATAAATTGCTAGAAATCTCATCAAACAGGGCATGTGTTGGGGAGGCAGCTGGGAGCAGTGGG